TAAAGAAGAGGTTGATAATCAGATTACCAAGTTCGAGTTTTGAATGTTCGTGTATGCATTCTCAATTTATTTAATACTTGGAAAATACAACCTAAAACATTATGCCCTTTCTCCATTTTTTGTCTTTTCTGTTTTGGTGGTTCATACAACCTCATTGGTATTTCAATCCTATGCTGCCAAACCATAACTTCTGTAAATACCAAATAGCTTTGGGCTGATTATTGTTTTCAGCTGGATAAAGATTCCACTTATTCAAGTTATGAACATTGTCAATCTCTCAATAAGACCAAGGAAAATATAAAGCAGATAGTAATTGCATTAAAAAACCAACAAGAAAATTGGAAGCTTTACCTGCTTCTCTTAGTGATTGTGGAAGAGCAAATAGCCCTGGAAACGGGAATCCAGACTCTCCAGGTACGGGAACATCTTCCAGACCAAGATTAATAACTACTTTGGTTCCCTCGGCCAAAGTTCTACAGCCTTCTAGCCTCTTTAATGCAATATTTATGTAGAATGTTAAATAGATAAGAAGCTTATCAGCTGAGCTTTGGATGTCAAAGTTTCTAAAGAAAACATTTGCACGGAAGAATGTGATTGCTTCATCAACAATATCAGTGCTATCTGCATTAAATTTATATAAAATTTAGTACAAAATATTATGTATTTCTTAGAATTAGACACTGTGTTGCAAATTGACCTTGTTCTAAAACTGGTGCAGGTCCTTTTATGTGGCTTTTAAGGGGAAGTAGAGGGCAACCACATGCTTTATTAATTCCTTCTTCATCAACAAAACTGGAGTGATAGACCTGAAACAATAGGTCTTATCTCAGTTGCAACAAAAGAATATTAAATTCTTGCTGAGCTAGGCTGCTCTATAACATCAAATCGACAGAAAAATAAAATTTAATTTGTAAACACAGAAATGAAGAACGAAGACTGAATTTTACTTAAACGCCTTTGCTCCTTCCACTATGATTAATATGGTAAAAATAAAAGGGAGCTATCTATACTTGCATCCTTATCTATGTGACAACCATATAGATCTTTGAAAACTATATTTTGAAATACAACTTATTTCACTTTGGTTTTCCTGTTTTTTCTTTGTCGAAAATGAATTGGTGAACCTGAGAGACTTAAACTGAATTTTAATACTAAGACCTCTGCTTCAGGACATCTGCCCTCTTATCCCCTCATAGCTTTCTGTCGTGTCTCCCAAGATTCAAACTCAAAATCTCTATCTTATGAGAGATAGTTTATAGGATTCAATTTAAGTCTCTCTTAAGAAAGAAGTCTTGAGTTCGAATTCTGAAAGACACGATAGAAATTTGCGTTGGATTAAGAGAACAAATGCTATTCCAAAGCGGACATTACAATTTTTGAGAACAAGTAATCTTTAATGATTAAATATGTTTCGCTCATTTTTTTTTTACTAAACCAATCCAGCAGCTTCCCACCAAGAACTATAAGTATTCCCCCGGTTATGTCTCATTCTGGTTTACTCAACGATGATAGTATCACAAACATGTCTATGGACACGTTTTGCATCTTTTCTTCAGATTCCCAGACCTTAACTTCATATCCCTCCAAATTTCTCCCAAAAAAGGATATCAATCTATCAATTCCATGATAAAGTGATATTATAAGATAGTTTGTAATTTTAAAGGCCCAACAATACTTCTCTAGCGAAATTCTGCTGCATAGTGTAAAGCAGTAGCTTTAACAGCAACTATATATGCATCGACAACATAAGGAAAGACTAATACAAGAGACTCGGGAGCTTAAAAACACTAGAAAACAAAAACATTTTAGTCCTTCAATTTACGACTGATTTTTTTGCCATTCTTCACGTCAATCACATTTAAACAATAGGCAAATTCCATTATAAGTATCATGGTATGATGGTAGTAAATTGGAGAATTAAATTTCTCTATAATGATTGAGACACAATATCAAGGGAAATATTAAACCAATTATCCTCAACACTCAATAGTCATGCAGTTCACATGCTAGCTCTCAGTTTCCATACTAGAAGCATGCATTTCTTTTGCTTGAGAAAGAAGGTCGAAAATAATAGCAAACTCTCTTCTCCCCATAGGGAAGGCAGACCCGAAAAAGACTGATAAAATTGGTAGATGATGCTCTGCTCCAAAATGCCCTAAACATCTATAATTGATCAGTGCACCAAAACAGCAGGGAAGAAAATGCAATTTAGAAGATCACGTAAAATCATAAAGAAACAAAATCAAGATCACATAAAATCATAAAGAAACAAAATCAACTGTCACTTAGCAAAAGTAGAAGTAGCAGCAAAAATTATAAATAATGTGCTTACCATATCAATTATATACAGACGGGTCTTTTATCACAGAACTCACAATGCTACTGTCTGATAAAGCAAAATATCTGCTGAGATCATGATCAACATATTAATTATAAACAAGAAATTTATGTAGAAGTGCTAATCTGCATATTACATTGGTTCAAAATGAATAAAAGTTAATGGATTTATACGTAAAACTCCATAACTTAAAGGTAAGTAACAATAGACTTCATTAAAATCCATTTACGCGAAACTTCCATTGACGAAAAACCAAGCTCTTGCAGAAGAAAACAGTACAGATGTCTATTTCATAAAGTTCACATAAGTTGCATGCACAATAATTTCACCAAGGGTAGAATATGTAGAAAACACAATTTAAACCGAGCACAGAAACAAAAGCTACAGAGATGAGTGGTTGAACACCTGTAGAAGAATCAGCACATGATTTCTGAATAAGCAAACCCACGATTCAACTAAAGATATTCTCCTCTACTCCAACAAGATTTATTCCCATTTTCGGTGAATAACTGGATTAGGACATCTGAATTCTACAATTTCAATAATTAGACTTGAGGGACTCAATTTTTAATCCTATTGAGTTTCTCTAAGGACAGCACATTACATTTGAACGGAAAATTTTCAGTTTTGCAGTTATAGCATTACAAATATCGCTTGATATTTTTCCAACTTTCACTGAATTATTTTTCTTGTGCATTCAATTCAGAAAACTAGTAAAGTGATGTTAATCGTACTGAAACTATATAGAAATTGAATAATAGCAGAATAACATAGCACCATTAAAAAATGAAAGCATAAAGCTTTAGGCTCTAACCTAATCCAACAAGGAATGATTCCAAAAGCAACATTGTATAGGACAACAGTCATCATTAACACACAATTCACAGCTACGAATATGCTTTTTCCCATTTCAATTATCACGTCACATAATTAAGTCAATAGTTCAAATTTTTGTAGTTGAAAATATGTAAATAAGAAAACCTTGTATAAATCCAGACAGTCATTAGAAAAATCCAGTCATCAAAATCCGCTAATTCACCGATTTAATATACCTATTTCACGAATTGAACAACCTTGTAACCAAAAAATTATATATCCATTATTCGACATGGCAACATCTTAAAATACCAATAGTTTTAAAAAATACATAAAAAGCGAGATTAATTACCAACAGAGAATATTCTCCTCCACCGTATGTTAGATCTCGCGGGGGGTGCTGGAAATTGGAATAGTGGTTAGACTGGGAAACTGGTCAGATCTCGTTTGGCTTGTGTTCAAATACTTCTATGCAGACCACAGGTTTTTAAAATTATCACACCATATTTTTTTTTATTACATTAACATTTATTCATGATGGCACTTATATCCTTAACTTTTTCCTTCATCATATTATTATTTTTAATATTTCATTTATCAGCAATATTGTCCTTAATCATGATTTTCATTCAAAAATATTGTTAACATATTTTAAAATGCGGGTCGAATATATACTCGTATCTTTGCATTATTATTTATTTTTTTATTCAAAAATATAATGGATAAACAAATCTTTTTATTTTATCTTAGAGAAAATTTTGAAGAAAAACAATAATCGGAAACAATTTATGTTAATTTGAGAATAAGACGAAAACAAGTTTGAGATATAAATGTGATAATGTGTAAAGATTATGAACATTTGATGCAACTAAAATATAGTCTAGTTACTAAAATCTTTGGTATGAATATATTTAGCCTATATAGAAAATTATCCCTACTATATAAAAAAGAGAATGTGAAGTTATTGTTGAAAGCAACAGTGATTTAATCTATTTTGTCCCACTGTATTTTTTTTTTTAAGTGGGGAAGCAAAACGACGTCGTTTGCCTTGCTTGATATATATTTTATTATACAGTAAGAAAATACCGCTACACACAATTTCCATTCTTCCCACCACTTCTTGCTCAATCACTCTTATATAGATATATATATTAAGGATATAAGAAAAAAGTAACTTTTATATAAAAAATTAAAAAATAAAGATAATATAAGACATAAAATATTTTATAAAAAGTTACTTGTAAGTAAAAAATTTGAAGAGAAAATAATTAAAAAGAATTTTAAATTAAAAAAATTTATTTATAACTTAAAACTACACGGCAAAAAAATAATAATAATTAAAAAAAATATATATATATAATGTAAATTTTTTTTTTCAGTTTAAAATTCCTTTTAACTCTTTTATCTTCATAATAAAACTTAATCCCCACTATATAAAAAAGAGAATGTGGAGTTACTGTAGAAGTAAAGAGTGAATTGTTCAATTTCATCTCACCGTAGCATTTTTTAATTTTATTTATTCCTTGCACTGTAGCCATTTCGTTTTGTTTACCCTGTGTTTAAGCAAAAACGACATCGTTTTGTCTAATTGGTACGGTGATATTTTCCCTTTCTCACCTGAAATTCTCTACTTTTTCAAAAAATCACACCTTTTTTCTTCTTCTCTTCTCTAAAGTTTCATGTGTTCTTATTTCTATTTTGTTTTTATTATCTATTTTGTTTTTATTATTTGTGTATGAATTAATTTGTTTTCCAAATTTTTCTGGTGTCTAGATTTTTTTTAGCGGTAAGTTGGTTTCCTTTTTTCCTTCTTTCTCCTTCTTTGTTATTTGCTTTATATTTTTTTCTTTTTTTTTCCTCCTTTTTTGAATTGACTTTTGTTAAATTCCCCAAAAAAAATTGAAAGAAAAAAAATATTGATGGAGTTTAAAGTCTCTCTGTGCACGGATGCATGAAGTCTCCATGCATGAAGACTACACGCTAGAAGCCGCTCGTAGAATAAACAAGATCTTTTATCTGGCTCTGTAGCTTGGCACAAATATCTTGTTGATAAAAGTGGCACTCCTCACCTATAATTGCCTCACAGTTTACAAACAATCAGCCATGTCCACGGCCTCTCCTTATCACCAAAATCCAATTCATAAAATCAGATCAGGATAACAAATGAGTTGAATAAAATGAAACAAGAAAAGCAAGTTTATTCTATGTAATGAATAATGATTCCAAACATAAATAGTTATGATTGCCTAAGGATTTCCAACATTCAAAGTGGAAGGCTTCAAGTTGAAGATTATTCTATACTACTTTTGGGGAAGACTACAGCACACGAAGGAGCTAAAATTAACAGAAATGGCTGCGCCTTGACTTCATGCAAGTCCAGTAATCAAATTATGCGAGCTTATGAATAATAAGTGTTGCGTATTGTCACACATGTCCTACGCACCTGAGCCAATGGCCCACTCATTCTGATCCACGTGGCATTCCTGTAGAGGTGACACACATTGCCGAGGTGGGTTATATCCAAAGTTCTTCAAGTTGAGGTCCATCCCCCGAGGCTCCTCGATCCGATGTACGCGAGTCTGCCGAAGTCCAACTACCGAGGCCCATGACCCGAAGCATGGAACCCGTTGAATGTAGTTGAGGTCCTCAAGTGGAAATATTTGTCAAATGGTCGAAACCCCGAAGCTGATGCACGAGCCTCTTAACCACAAGGAGCTTCCTCCACAGTCAATTCTCCCAAGAGATCGCCTGCTCAGAGATCTTATTCGAATGACTGATGGAACGTTTGTCACAAGCATAAATGTCAAGTCTTGTCACTAGTATGGAGGACCTGCGCAAGCAATAAATGCGCCGTAAACTAGCAAGTCAAGCCCCATACCTAAGAAAAGACGTTTGAACTAAAGAGATGAGGCCACGTGCCACTTCATCCAAGGGCTCCCATTTCATATGTATCACTATAAATACTTCCATTGTATAATGTCAAAGGCTAATGCAATAATCAATACTAAAGACTACATTTACTCAACTCTCTCTTATTTACTTGCAATACACAAATCGAGTTTATACACTTTTACATATACATTTACGAGCACCGGTTGGTAATTATTGTACAATCAGATTACGAACAACCCGCCGGATTCCGAACGTCACCGTCCCGCGTCGTTGGACTACTCCCACGCCCCTTTGAACCACTCGTTTTAGACCGTCCACGTGTCTTAGTGTGTTGGACATTCGCCCACGCAAGCGCGGGTGGGACCGACATCTGTTGGCGCACTTTTTGGGGTCAACAGATTGGCGCCGTCTGTGGGAAATCATACCATGACCACGAGCAACCTTGTGGTAGAAGCTTACTAAAAAATATTTGGGCAACCCCCTTGAAAAAGGATTTGTTCTTGAAAAAGAATAGGAGGAACCCCTATCACTTAGAGAAATCTAAGTTTGATAAAAGAAAAATGAGTTCTAACGAAGATACTCCCCCAAGGAGGGTAAGAAAAAGCACGAATGTGCCTCCCCAGCCTGCTGTCCCAGCAGTTCGACCGAGGCTCACCACCACCAAAGGAGAGGTGGGATGCGTGCGACAGCACGACTATCAAGAGAAATGGCTACCATGACAGCCAACATAAGGGATATAGCCAACCAAAACTTGGCCATGAGGGAGCTCATGGCCCAAATGCAAGGCCAGGGAGGCTTCCTCATTCCTCCATATACCCCCCACGGGCACTATCAGCAAGAGGACGAGGTCCAGAGTCATAGGGCTGCCTCGCCAGACTATGGCCGAGGTGAAAGCCCATTCGAGAGGGAAGTGGGAGTCGACATTTCCTCCAACTATGCATCTGGCCAACCCACCGAGGTCCAAATGAGCCATGATAACTTTCCACCTCCATATGAGCAAGACCCAAGACATAGGAGAGCAGGAAGTGTTTTTGACAAAATCAGCCCTGCCGAACCGAGGCCCAGTCAACAGCAGGCTCACCAGCCTCGGACGAGGCCACAGCCTCTACCTCCGATGCCCCAGCAGCCGGAGAGAAGGCATGAAAATGCCCCCCGCGCTGTCCCGCCTAGAAGTAGGTCGCAGAGGAGGGAGGAAGAGGCTAGGAACCGGCCCGGACCCTCTCACCAACAACCAAGGTACGAGGCCGATGACTATGATTCTGATGAGCAGCAAAGGTCCTGTGACTTGGACGATGATGATGAGAACCTGCCATTCTCAAGAGAACTAAGAAATGCCCAGGTGACCCAGAAAAGCACCTCAATGCTTACAAAACTCACATGAGCCTGAGGGGCGCCACCCCAACCGTGAAGTGCAGAGCATTCCATTTAACCCTCAGTGGAGCGGCTGAAATCTAGTATAGTAGGCTACCATCTGGGAGCATCCGAAGCTGGCCTGAGTTCAAGACTACATTCTTGAAGAGGTTCGCAGTGAGCAAGGAAGGAGAGGCCCCATCCAGCGTCTCCAAGACATGAGACAGGCGCATGGCGAGTCCCTAAAAAGCTTCCTATCCCGCTTCACCGACGAGATGACCTACTGCGTACAAGTCACCGACAGAGAAGCATTATCTGCATTGAGAGGAGGCTTGAACATGAACATCCTATTCTGGAGGGATGTACAGAATCAAGACCCCACTACCTATGACGCCCTACTAGAGATGATGAGAAGGGAGATAATCAATGAAGAATTGATTGAGCATAGGAACAGGGCAAGCAGAGGACTCCCACCTCCTCAAAGACAGCGAGGTAGGGATTCGACCTCTCACCTCATGGACTACCAGATGAACCGAGCTGGAAATGAGAACTCCGGCCAAGCTCTGGCCACCACAACTCTGAACGCGGTTCCTACCTTGGCATATGAGGATGTCAACCTAACTGCTGACTCACATCAGATGGAGGCCCAGCAGGGACCCCGTAGAGGGAGAGGCCGAGGCCGAGGTTTTGCACCTAGAAATAGGTCCAATCCGAACCTCCCAGGATACTGTTTGCACCACAGGTCCTACAGGCACGACACCGCGGATTGCAGAGACTATGCAAACCCTCCCGGCAGGAACCCGCCAGAGAAAGACATGACTCGCCCCAGGCGAACAGGCCCCCTCCCAGGCACGACAACCGACATGAGCGTGAGGCGGCCGCTCCTCGTCAAAGGGATGTATCCCCAAGGCGAAGAGAGCAAGACACAGAGAGGCCCAGGGAAGGGCGTAGACACCGAAGAAATAGGCAAACTCAAGATGAGACCCCTATCCACGAGATAGATACCATATTTGGAGGCCCTTATGTTGGCGGTGAAACACGAAACGCCAAAAGAAATTATGCTAGGGAGGCTAAGCACCCCCTCTGACGAGTTACATTGTGGACAGTAGCTCTCGAAGAAACCAAGTACCACCTATTGTCTTCACCCAGGAAAACGCCGAAGGAGTTTATTACCCCCACTGCGATGCGTTGGTGGTGAGGGCTGTCATAGCCCGAAATGGGCTCAAATGAATGATAGTCGACAACGGAAGCTCCGTCAACA